AACGCCCAACTCAACGCCTGCGCTTTTATGCTGGTTGCGGGTGCGCGCTCCTCTCCAATCGCTTCCTGCATGGGCCCAGAAGGTCGATGAATGATGCATTGTCTCCATCGGGCAGCTCAAATGTAATGTTTCCGAAGCGATCAAAATCACGCGTCTTGAAGAGGTCCTTGAGCTTGTGACCCCCCAAAATACAATCAGGTTTCCTATCAATGATTCTCAAGAGCACGTCGAAATTCTTGTCAGGTCTCTTCCTGTTGATATTTCGTGCGCACTGGCAAGTGGGACAATTCTCATGGTATTTGCAAAGCTCGGAGCCCCCTCTCAATTTGGCTTGCTGGGCCGCAGCTGCCATTTTGTCCTGATGCTACTAATGAAAGAGAAGATAAATGAGCATGTACTCACCGGCGCCTCGGCCTCGCGCACCCTGGGCTTTAATCCCTTGGCGCCACCCTTGTTGATAACCTGCTCAGCGGCCGTGAGCTGTCGCTTCTTGCGCTCTACGGTGCCCTCGTTTTGGCCTCTTAGGAACGAGATCAGCCCGTCAACCAGCGCCAACACCTGCGTCCAGTGGCCATCCCAATGCAGCTGCAAAATTGGTGTGTCCGCACCACCATCGAGCCGCTCGCTTAACGCAACGGTCCTGCCGTCGGCTGCTTCCACAACCTTGCCAAGCAGCTTCCCTATGCAGCTGAGGCAAATAAGAGACCTGGCCTGCTTTGCTCGGGGCCCCCTCCGCGCTGATGAGGTAGCCTCTCTGCACCCCATTGGATTGCTGTCCTTTCCGGAATGCCAGCCGCAAGCAGCCCTCCTCGTCCTTTACCCACAGCTGCTGTCTACATGTCAGGCACTTGACCGCAACGCGCTCTTGGCAGCTAGAGAAGTCGACCCTAAAGTGACCTCAAGCTATATGGTCGAATGTAGGTTTGTCTAACCTTATCCGTTCACCACTGCTAACCAGATGCACCTCTACTACAGCCATTTCCACCCCCCGCTGCCTCAGATGGGATGCCCAAGGGCGGCGGCCTCTCTCTAAGTGCCTCTCTCTCCTCGGTCCGAACTTCCCGGGGCCTCGGTCTTGCCCTTTCAGTTCGGTCTCTTATCTCTAAGCCTCTCAACCGACTCCTACGATGAAATACCCTCGGGGCCCCCGGTCGCTTGTCCCTAAGTTCCGACCCATTCGACGAGCGGGTGCTCGAAAATGTCAAGGGACCGCCGTGGGGGTGCTGACGTGGCGTCCTCTCCGGGTCATGTCACCAAATTTACCGTCACGGCACAATCCGGCAGCCTCGGTACCGTAGCGTCACCGTCCGATCCCTCTGGAATGATCTTCACCGTCGAGATAATGCCAAACTCCCCTTGGTAGGCCCAACGCCCCGGCCCCCAGGTGTTAAAAGTAGGCTTGCAACCTGAAACCAATGATGTGCTGGCAGCCAAACGGCTAAAATCGTAAGAACACTTAACAACCAATCACAGCTCCAGGATTGTCAGTTCCGTTCAATCTCAACCTTCCGATAGGGGTGCTGGGGGGCGCCCGGACAGTTGCAAAGCGCTTCTGGTGTAACGGAAACGCCGGGTAAGGCATAGGGGCACCGGAGGTTTGCGTATGACGTCCGGGACAGTGCGGCGACCTGCAGGGGTTGTATTACCGGAGAAAGTCGCCGCGGACCGAAGGTTGAAATTTTGCGGTTCTGAATCGGGGGGATGAATAGCGACGGTTGGGAGCAGTCGATCGGAGAAGTTAGGGTTTGGAGGTGTAAAGCGATACGCGCTGAGCGGTGGGGCCGAGCTCTGGCGAGTTGGGAGTAAAAGGAGGTCTGCCTTAAAAGAGATGGTGGTGAAGGCGCCTTCGGTAATGGAGGTCGCGTTAGGAAGCAGTGGTGTTGTAGCGGCCACTGAGAAGTGAGGTTTTCGTCTTATGCGTCGTCAGCCTGTCTTTAGGGTGGATGAACTGGGTCGAAGCAGAGCTTCTCGAAAGAAGCGCTCAACAAATAGAGGAGGCGCCACGGGCGCTTTCCTTCTTTACAGACTTGAAAGAGTACGAGGTCTTTCTACTTTTGAATAAGACGTCCAGAGGCGCAGCGTGAGTCAGCGGGGGCAACTCGGCAGCACAGCTAGGCGCGCGTGCACGGCACGCGCGCTCAGGCGGCAGGCGGCAGGCGGCCCGGTTGTATGCGCCCGGTGCTTATGTCAGGTGCCACATTCCGGGCTTAAACTTCTTGTGTGATCTAACGGACTTAGCTGAATTCACAGTGCATCATAGAGCAGGCGAGTATTCCGATGATTAAAATCATAAGAACACTTTAACAACCAATCACAGCTCCAGGATTGTCAGTTCCGTTCAATCTCAACCTTCTGATAGGGGTGCTGGGTGGCGCCCGGACGGTTGCAAAGGGCTCCTGGTGTGCCAGAAACGCCGCCCCAAAAAGACAATCGTTTGCCAAACGACAATTATTGGACTCAGATAATAGTGTTTTGTGTCTTATGCGGTGTTGAGTTTCAACAAAAATGCGAAGAACAGCTGCGGACTGTCAGAGCGGTTGGGTTGGGTGGGAACTGCACAGCAGGGGAGAGGATGAGTTCGGAGCAGACGCGACGCCTTTACGAGGGGGCGCTCACTAGCTTCGGAAAGATTGCGGAAAAGAGTGTGAATGAGGCCAGTAATAATAGCCGAAAGCCAACATTCCAGCAGTTTCAAGGTTTCTTGGCGCGAAACGCCTTTCGCGTCACCGTTGAGACGGCCACGGCTGCCGATGTAGGGGAGTTTATCGTTGGGGATTGGATCCCCAGCCATATCGCCGGCTGCCGCACGAAGCTGCCGCAAACTAGGAAAAGCATTCCGTCAATATCCGCAGTGACCCACGTGGTGAAAGATTTAGCCAAGTCGTACGCTTTGCTTGGCTACGAAGGTCGGAGCAACCCTGCCAAAGCCGAAGTAGTTGAATTATTTCGGGTGGGCTACGAAAAGATGCTGCACGAGCAGGGTGTGAAGGTCAAACGGGCGAAAGTGTTTACGGAGGAGAAGTTGGACGGCCTGCTGGCGCATATTGCGCAACTGATCCGGGCGAGCCGCCTGGGTTTAGCGAGATGCGTCCTGCTCACCGACCAGGCGGCCGTGCTATACCTTTGGGAATCCCTTGCGCGCGGAAAGGAGTGCGGACAGTTGCAGCGACAACAAGTCAAACTGGGGGAGCAGGCAGCCTACTCGGGTTGGAGCAAAACCGTCCGGCAGGAATCGAGCGCGCGTATTCGGCTCGCGGCGCCGATTCCGGAGGGGCGCCTGGCGTTTGTGGAATCCGCCGTCCAGCTGCTGCACGGGATGGAAGAAGGGAGCTTTCCCGTTGGCGAGGATGGGTTCCTCTTTCGCGCCATCAATCGGAGTCGCACCGGCTTCGTCAACGAGCCGATGAGCAGCGATACGCTGAGGAAGCGGTTACAAAAAGACGCTGGTTTATTTGAGGGGGTGATCGTGCATAGCTTCAAGCGTTCGGCCGTCAAGCATGCGGCTGTAAATCTGAATTACAACGTGACGGAGTTAATGGATTTAGGACGTTGGAGGAGCTATGCAGTTTTTCGACTGTACGTAGAGGAAATTTGGCAAAAGTGACGTTGATTAGATCAATTGCCTGTGCACTGACGTTTTTCCGGCTGAGACCGACCTCAGAGAAATTTAATCAATCTCGACCAGTTGCAACGGCTAATGTTGTTTTATACCGGGTTCGTTATCCACATGTCGCTGCACTTATTGCCACAGGCGTGTCTGGCTGGGCCTATTATAAGCGCCCACGAATGACGTTTGAGTTCTGCATCTCGTGCTTGTCTCTAATGTTGCGTGCACTTGTCACTCAGAAGCACCGCTACATCATTTATCCTTTATGGAGCACATAGTGCGAATCCCTCCCTCCTCTTGCCTACCTTACTTCCAGTCAATCTTTAAAACTCTAAGCTTATATAATGCTGGATTGACCGTTTCAACCGGTACCCTCCTGCTAGGAATGCACGCATCTGTAGACCGCTCATGCCAGAGGCACTGCCACGCTTGCGCCGCTGCCTAAACTCATCAGCTCGACCCACCAGTTTGTGGTGGTCGCTTCCGGAACCACTAGAATCGCGTCCGTTCTGAAATTCGCGTTGACTGCAACACGCTAGGTATCGCCCTAACTGGCGGGAATATCCACGCCGTTTCGCCTTGTCTAACTAGCGTCCTCCAATCTGTGCTGAGAGCGTCGACTGCAAGGCAGCCTCGCATATAGCGGGGGGTTACAAATTGCCCCGCCACATGCCACGTGTCAGAAGCAAACATGTCGACGTCTGGCCGACCGAAGAGCGAGATGACGTCAGCAAAAACCTTGGGGTTTAGTCCGCAGTCCGACGCGTCGGGGACTAGGCTGAGAGCGTCATGTTCAGCCAGCTCCACCCGCGGCTTCCACTGGGCCAAAACGTCGAAGTCCGCCTCTGAGCACAGCTTGAAGATCTCTTGTAAAACGGCGTTTAGATCGGGCGCCGAGCTCCTGAAGCTGTTAACGGCCGCCACCGCTCCTTGGTTATCGCCAACCAACAAAAGGGCTGCCCCCGAGAGGAGAGGACGGTGGTGCTGCACTGCTTGCTGTAGAATTCGAAGACACCCCACCATTTCGCACGCGGTGCTGGATTGTTGGACCTCCGTCTCGATTAAGGACCCCGCTAAGTGGAAAGGGGGGCTGCCGGCTATGTAGAGGGATCCCCCGAAACGGAAGTCCGAGGCGTCCGAAGCGGCCTCGATTCGGATCTGACGTGGAAACCAACGCCGTCCGTTCGAGTCGTCCAGGCGCTCCAGGAAGAGTTTGACCGCGTCCTTGGCCGCTTGTGGGGTAGCAAAAAATCGCATCCCACGAAATGCGACCTTGCATCGCTTGGAATAGGGGCCTGCTATACAAGGAAGCGGGAAGCACCGCAGGCCCCAGCGCGATAATCTTTCCCGCCACATTGGCAAGAATCCGAGGGCTGACTTCCCTTGCCTATAGAAGCTCCGTTAAGGCCGCTTTCACCTTTGCCATCTTGGCTGCTGAGACCCTGAACTGTTCCGCTTGCGTGTCCACAACAAACCCCAGCCAGTCGCCTGTCTGGGCTGGCCAGAATTGGCATTTTGGCAGACTGAAAATTGCCCCAAGGAGGGCGAGGAAGCGAACAATCGCCACGATTAGCCAGAGGCAAAGGGCGAAGTCCTGGTTGGCCGTCAGACCGTCATCCAGATAACTGGAAACGGGGATACCCTGGGTTTTGAGCTCTTTCGCCGCTTCTTGGGTTATCAGCGTAAACGCATAGCAGGCTTCGGACCACCCGAAGCACATTACGTTGTAGTAAGTATACGATGCCGATCTTGAAGCCGAAGTAGGTCCGAAAGCGGGGATGAATGAGGACGTGGTAGTAGCCGGCCTTGAAGTACCACGTGGCGAAAAAACCTTTGGACGAGAGGAAGGTGAGGAACTGAGTCGCGGAGCATTTCGTACTTGAACGGGTGCGCTTTTGAAAAAGCGTTGATGTAGCCGGCATCCAGAACGAGGCGTCCTTTGGGGAGGTTTACCACGCTCAGGGGGTTTACGACTTTCGATTTTGTCTCCCCCGCCGCGCAGAGGTGAACGGAGCCGTTGACGAGCAGCTCCCCCACTGTTTTGAGAGCAAACTCCGAATTCTCGTAAAACGAGCGGAGGTAAGGAAATTTCACCGGGTGGGGCACGTCCCCCGAGAGCCACTCTTCAAATCTTGAAACACCCACCGTTCGCCTGAGCATAAGCCGAACCCTTTCTAATTTCTTAGGGTCGCACTCTGCCGTTCCCACGAAGGACGGCTTGATTCCGTGCCGCAATGAGGACAACACCGTCTTGGAGGAAGGCCTCGTCGAATCCTTCAGCAATCTTCCCAAATCGGGAGGTGGCGGCTGAAGCAGCCCGCCACAAAACTCTCTACCGGATGCACTTTGGTTACAACGGACATGAGCCACTCTGACAATTCGCCTTCTCGTAGCGGGCTTATCTCAGGCCCCGCCTCGATTTCCATCAGAAGCTCCCTCAGATCCTGGACAAACTGTTCGTGATTCGGCGTCTGCGGAATTCGAGGAGCGAACTGGGCGAAGAATCGAACATTCCCAATCTGACGGATCTGAGGCGTTAGCGGGATTGCCTGACGGATCTGCGTTAATGTCTATCTCTACCGTTGACGGCTCGAACGAGTTGCAGCGTCTCCGTCGAGCCCAACATCCGGGGAAACCTCCGTAAATTCGTTTGCTTGCTCTTGGCTAGCTAGGGGATCCCCTCCAGGCAGCGCGGCCGCCGCCGCCGCCATAGGCGCTGAGGGGCTGTCAGTCTAACATACGGCTTTCAACTAAGGCAGGGTCCTTTCGTCCATGACAACTCTAATCTTCGATTAAGAATACTCTCCTTATGCGACGGCCTAGATTCGACGAGAAGCGCTGCGGAAGAGGGATCCCCCCGCGCGGCGCGGCCGCCGCGTCGCCATATGCTATGAGCTGCTCTTGACACACGGGTAATTAGGAACGACAGTCATGCCCATTTTTCTCTGGCATCCAGACGTGAAGATGGGGCTCTAAAAGACAGAATGATAACTTTTCTTATAATGCGTTGAAAATCGGGCGCCGGTACTCGCCTCTAAAAGCTGAATGACGAAATGAGACATTCGTGGTCTTGTCTACCTTGTCAAATTGCAAACGTTCAAGTGAATCCAATCTGACGGCCGCGCCGATACATGTAATCCAATTCGGGACTTCGAATTGTTCTCGACGGGTCCTCGATTGCTTATCTTCTGACTCTGCAACATGTAAGTTCTTTCTCGGCCTTGCCACTAACCGCCCATGAAGCTAAGCCAACAGCGTGACAACCAGTCTTTAACCGAATATGTACGAACATATTTACCTGCTTCCTCTATTCTGGCCTGCAGCAGGATCTCTCTCTATCTTCAAACCTAGGGCGTCCGCCACCTTAGCCGCCTCTAAATTTCTGCCTTCCTCCCGAATGAGGGGCGTTCCAGCCGCCTTGGTTGTTGTTGTTCCTCCTGCGATCCGGTACATACCAGCATCAGGACACATGCCTGCCTATTATAGGCTTTTCTCACATTTTGAGGGGCGTCTATGCCCGAGCGTGCAGCCCTGTAACGGCACACATGGCATGGCAACATGCCTTTCTGGTCCTTATCGGACGGTAACCCTTTACCGGATAGTGCCCACAGGGCTCTGCCAGTTCGCCAACAGAAGACTTTATTTGCTCACAGGGCAAGCCAACATGTTCACCGACTTGTCATTTCTGTCCCAGAGAGAAGCTAAGTTCCTGCTGATGGAAGCAATACCTCTGAAAACTCTGAGATTGAAGGTTTTTAGTACGTACGTTTTTGGGCACGGGCGTCGCTTGCTTTCATACGAAATCTCTTGCCAGATTTCAGGTTCATCAATATTTGAGACCCAGTCGGATATGGCAAACTGGACTTTGTGAGGGGGGGCGACCTCACATGCTGGAAGGATCTGCACACAGCCCCCTCCATTCACCAACTCTGAAAATAGAACCTCCCCTCGTGCCAAGCAGATCCGCATGGTCTCCGACCCGAAACTGGCCCAGCTGTCATAGGCATGGCTTGCCACCAAGATTTTGAAAACAGGAGAGATACCTTGGTGCCTTGACCGACGAGCTCGTCTCCAAAGTACGTCTCGGATGCCATCCATCGCACGCGTTTCAGATGATACCCAGGACACCGTGTGAGCAGATTTGCAAAACTGGCCCACCCTGCTTCGCCATGACTTTGTTGACCTCCGTTCAAGAGCGGTGCAGAGCTCAGGCACGGCCTTTCTGCAGGCGCGCTCCCAACCCCTTTCCTTCAGCAAGCTTGCAAAGCGCGTCGATACGCGGGAAAGGCTCGCCAGAGTCTTGGAATCTATTCCTGGAGGGATTGGAGTTAGGGTTTTGTCAAGGATCAGGCAGACAAGGTCGTCGCTCAGGCTCTCGGATCTTGTGATTCCCACGATTGACTGTGAAAGCCACTCAAAAAATTGCTACCTACTTTGGAAAACATAAAAAGGCCCCCTTGCCCATGACCCAATCTGTCAGGCTTTGTGATGCCGCGGACGCCATTGCACGGGCCTATTTTCTATCCTGATCGATGTAGTGAACAGTAACGGCCAGTGAACAGTAACGGAGACGGGTAGGGTTAGTTAGGGGGTTAGGGTGGGTACGGGTGCGGAGCGGGTGATCCTTTAGGTTAGGGTTTTTAGTAACCCCAAAATGCTTACTGTTCACTACTAAGGCTTGCTTGCTGCTCACTTGATCGAGACATACCTAATACCTATTTTCTTGCTGGCCCAACGTTTGTTCGCTTTCACTGCTTCAGGAGTGCGTCCAATGGATTTGTACCAGACGTTATGACGCTTCAGCATAGCAAATGCACAGTGCCCCATCTGGATTGCAGCGACACAGAGGCCGTAAACCGCTGCTTTGGTGTCGCTGAGACAATGAACCTGTCGAGCGACCTTCTCACGTTGCTCCTCGAGCAACAAGTCGCCGACTCAAATCTGTCATCGGACGAGTACAATTTTCATGCACTCCCCCTCGCGAGCTACGGCGCAGGATCACGTCTGCTGCACTTGTACAGTCTGTACCACTAATCAGGAATCAGGAATCAGTAGGACGGTTCTGCTGGCATGGCTCCTCTGCATTGAGAATCCATTCCCCAAAGCTGCACCTACCAAACAATCGGGAAGACTCGCTCTTTGCCATTATCATGCACGTATGACCGCCCAAGCTACTGCAGGAGCACTGCCGACGCACCAACATAGGTTCTATCTTTTTTGTCTCAATAACCTCTCACTGTCTCTCCTCTTTTGCCTTGGGCATAGCACGCTGCGCAGCATCCATCAGCCTGGCCGCTCAAACAAGGCATTGCTGACTTCTAGACCCTGAGGCACCGCTACTGACAAGCAGATGCAAAGAATCTTCAGGTTGAGAAGCGCCACCAATGCCAAGACCAAGTGATTCTTTCACGCCCTCAGTCAATTGAGGGCTGTAGCATTGTCCTGAAGTGGACGTAGAGACAAGCAGCAGTGCTCATGGATTGACTGAGTTCTCCACTTCCAATATTGCCGGATGTGGCAACCTGATCAGCAAGGTCGTGTCTGCTGACTCGCCGTGTGTTATTACACTGAAGTGTATATTTGTGCTTGGGAGGGCCCAGTACTTCTTGAGTACCAGAGTGAGGGTTTCACTGCACTGGGCTTGGCATATGTTGAGACATACTTAAAAGTATCTGCAATACAATGAATGAGGGAACGAAAGTATTGAGCTGAGTGCGAGTTGCAAAGCTTCAGGTGAGTCAAAGAACGCAAGCATTCAGCCACGCCGCTGTCCGCAGCTGGACATCCTAATGGGCGTACTTCTTGTGTCTTTCTTTGATCTGGTGACATCCTGCTCTGATCAAAGTAGTCTGCCTTGATTTTAGCCTGTCCGAGTTCAGATTCAAGAAGAACCGGTCACATCTGCTTGGGGCTTGTTCCTTCTCCTGACTTTGCAACTGCTTAAGCCTGATGGAGTACCTCTGGCTGCATATGGCGACTTCTTTAGCTATCTCAGTGACATGCTTGGGGCAGCACTGGAGTAGTGTCAAGGTTTGCCTGTGAAAGGAGTGTGCGCCGGACTGGGTTTAGTGGGAGCTCAGGTTCCTTTTCTCAACGGCTCCTACGGAGGTCTAACAGTGAGATCAGAAACTAATGGTACACTAGAGAGGATGTGTGCGATATGATTGTCTGTCCTCCCTCAAAAACAAACACATTGCAGATTGAACATGTATATGTTTCTTTCATGTCACCTTGCTTCATCTGATGCCTCAGTATCGTTCAGCTGTCAGCTAAAAACAGTTCTGGGGATAATCTAGGGCTTGGCGATCTGTGAGCAATCCAAACATTCTGATTCTGTCATGCTTTCAGGGGCATGATGAGCCATCCGCCAGTGTTTCCCGGGAAAGAGTTTCCAATCAAAAGCTGGGGGCGCACCTGCTTCGGTGCATTCCTCATATTCTCCCTCTTCTTCCTGTCCCAAGAATCCAATCCTGGTTACAAGATTGGGCGGGTAAGTTTTTCCAAGTTACGAAATTCTGTTTGAGCTTTGCGCTGCTCCATTGCGTACATGATTGTTTCAAATGCCGACAGGTCAAAGTCTGAGCATCTTCTACTGCCTTTCAAAAGCTCATTCCATCGGAAAGTCAGGTGAAAGCGAAGGAACCTCGCTATATTTACCCGTCTCAGTCTGGAAACACTTAGCCCCTGAGTTCCATATCTGAATCCTAGCAGCAGTGCAACTTTCTCATATGTGGCTTTCGCATCGGTGGCATTACGCAGAGACTAGTCTGCATCGCTTGCTTCTTCAGCTGGAACTACAATCGAAGAGCCAACTCATACATGCTGCCTTTCCTCCTGTTTACAGGGTATCAGTTCGATGCTTCAGAGTAGTGGCAACCATGAGATCCCCCAGCCACAAGAGAACAGCACCCTATGTCTCGGCATCTATTGCTTAGAAGGACCCCATCTTCGGCAATCGCTTGTAATGCAACCGAGTCACTTTTTTATCAAAATACATGAAGCTTGGACAATGTAAGTATCTTGCCAAAACTTCGATGGTGACAGGCCCTGTCTGACACTTGTGAACTGGAATGCTTCTGCAACTCTAATCCTGCAAGATTCGGGTCTCGGAAAGCCTTGTTTGGTCCTCGAGTTTGACTTCAAGAGCAGCAAAACGGTCCATGCAGGTCTTCTGCACCAAACGGTGAAGTATGAAGACACAACTCGAGACCAGTATCTTATGCATCTAAGAGAGAGCTTCAGCAGGCAATCAAAATCTCTTCCTCAAAATCTCCTTATTAAACCGGTTTGGTGTTTGAGGTTGACTTCGAGAGCAGCAGAACGATCCATGCAGGTCTTCTGCACCAAACGCTGATGTCTAAGGACCTTATTCAAGACCAGTATCTTATGCATCCAAGTCAAAGGTTCCGACAGGAGGCGGTCGAACTTTCTATTCCTGCGGCCGGTGTGGTTGAGAATATTTTCAAAGTTTCCGTAAGTCGCTCAGATGTCATGCCGTGATGCAGATCCAAATGCTATGGCCGAGCCGTCGGTGCCCCAGGCATCTTCAGTTTGGAGATGACTTACGTAGGCAAGCACATGCTCCGGGTGGACTATATGGCACACCAGGTGAGGTTTTTTACGGCCACCTCGCTATCATGCCTCACCTCGTAATCAACTCTTCTTGCCAGAAGCGTTAACAGTGATTTCAATTCTATTGTCTACTTCAGTCCGTCAAAGCTGAGTATCTTCACTTAGTCGACTCTTCTTGCCGAAGCCTTTCACAGTGCATCCGTTCAAGGTCAGTCCGTCAAAGCCGAGTCTCTTCAGTTGCCCATCAGAGGCCGGCAAGGGAAAGTCAGGCTTTGACGGGTAACTCCCCTGCTGTCACTGCCGTTGAGACGTATAGGCAGGATCGGACGAGCTGCTGCCGTGTTGAAAACGAGAGGCTCATCAGATTGGAGTGTGATGAAATAATTGCTGAGCTAGAAGGAGACCGCAATGGAACTGACTTGGCTGGGGCACACACGGAGTATCGCTCTTTCGGTAAAAACAAGCCGCTTGGTTTTCGCAGGAGGGCGACTACAAGCTGTGGATCTCCTGCGCTGATTACGTTCCCCCCTGGACTCCACCAGAGCTTCCAACCTCGGCCATATTCACCCCGTGGTTCCATCATCAAACTCTCCCCATGCTACCAACCGTGCTGACCATTCTCCCCAACTCAAAGGTCGAACCAAGGGGCTGCCAACCTTGCCAAGGCCCTGATATCGGTACTTTCTCAGGGCAATGGGTTAACGCCACGGATCTTCAGGCATACTGCGGGGAACATGTGCTTGGGGCGGTCCACGAATGGTTCGAAGACGACTTCGTCTGGGCTGCCCGCCAGTGCACCTATCCGTTTCGGTCCCGGGCCGAGTTTCTGGAGCGGTTCGATGGGGCCAGCATCCTTTTTGCTGGGGACTCCACGGTGAGCACTTGATGGCCAGCTTGATATCCGATTGTTACTTCTATTCATAGCGAGTGCACCGAATTTACTGGGATGTCATCGATCTTCATGACGAGCCAGCTTCTTGGATTCTGTAGGCCTGCCACATGTTATTCGAGTTCTCCCGAAGATGCAGACTGATGAGGAGCACACGCTCTGATGCTTAAAGCTTGAGTGCATTTGTCAGCTCCCACTTCGGATTGCATTGAGATGTTTTGAGATGCTCATGTGAGCTGTTCCAAATCAAAAGCCTCCATTTCTTGGGCAAGTCGTGCAGATGAGGGGCCAATTCATCGATATGCAGAATTGGCTTTGGTATGGCATCGGCCCGGAGACTTTGCAGGCGCCTTTCGTCTACTTCAATGAAACCAGCTTCCACAGCTCTTGGGATGAGCGTGTCTCTGGTTTCAACACCGAGAACGACATGCGGGCCGTTACACCAAATCCGTTTGAGGTGAGCGTGCGTTCTCGTTCTGAACGATATAATGCCAGCAAAAGTTTCCTCCGTCTCGCAAAACCGGCTGCCGCTTTGACAACCACGATGACCACTCTCAGCAGCTTCGTCATAACCGGGTGCCCAATGATGTCAGAATCTCTTCAGCATCTGACTTACAAGTGCTGCTATCTTTTCAATCTCTGGTTTGGACTCGTGGAAACAACACTCTCCTGATTTGACTACCAAGCAACTCTGCAAGCAACGCAACTGAATTGTTCGTATAATCTTTGTCCGTTGAAGCCACATTTGGTTCTGGGTCATGACGGCTAATCATTGTCCCTGTTTGCCTGCATACGGTGTCATTTGAGTGGCAGCAGTCAGAAAAGGTTTTGCCACAAACTCCTGACTTTCGCATGTTAAACTTGATTCGTATTCGGATCTCAAGATTCTCCTACCTGCAGGTGGGCCGGTTTCGAGCAGAGTATATCGAGGTAACGAATCCCGTCACAAGGTTTGAAGACGTCGTGCTGCGCACAGCATGGAGAAACAAGGTAAGTAGCCGGAGCCCTTTTGAGACGCGCGTGCCTTTTTGTGAGCTCTTTCTGATGAGTCTAGCAAAGCTTACCGTGAAATTCCCGACTCAGGACCAACGTCTCAAAAGCCCGGTCCCCTACGTTTGCGGTTGGCCACATTATCTGGACTATCATCTCGCAAGTGACCGCGCCTGGATTCGATCATCGGATGAAACGGCACCAGAACGTTGACTTCATTTTGTATTCAAAGCTGGCCCGTCCTTTCCGACCTGTGTAAGTACAAGTCTCTGGACGGGGATGCGTCCGAACTTGGTCACGTGATGGGTCATAAAAATTGTAGCATGAGATTGTACGCTTTGAAGACTCTATGCACGTGATACCTAAGGCTGTCATGCTTCTCTACAGGTTGAGCTTGCCAAGTACCACTATCACGCAACAGTGATAAACTACGGCTTGTGGGGGATGACCTCTGCATACCAGTTTTCATGCCAATTACCCGCATACTTGAAGAATCTATTCGAACGGTTCATATGCCGTCCCGTGGACCTTCACAGATTTCCTATAGATTACTACAATGACACACTCCCTTCTTTGCCAGACAGCAATATTGGTTACGAAGCTTGCTCATGGAGGGACTATGATCAATCCCAGCAGCATGCTGGTAGACTTGGCAGCTTCTCGAAGTCGAAATGCCTCGAAAAATTTCCTGGGAGACTTGTGTACCGATCAACCGGGGCAAAGCATTCATGGGACCATGCTTGTGTTGAGGACTGGCCATATCCACGGGGCATGGTAAGCGTTTTCGAGCCTTGGCGCGCAAGCGACACACTTCGATTACGAAAAAAGAACGACAATCTGTTGGCTACCAATTGGTTTTAGCATCCTACTTCTGATGCCAAAAGGACTTCCTAGATGATTCGGTCATCACTCGTGAAACGTCTAGGGCAAATCTGTTGGTTCCTGATGCATCTTGGGTCAGTCAAAGGCAGCATCAAAAAGCTGTTGGCTTTGGGTCAGATTTTGGTTGGGTCAGACTCGTATGATGTCCCATGTGCCAGCGGTATCGAAGCAATGTTTTGTAGCAACATATGTCTGAGGTGGTCGTGAGGGATGAGAACGTTAACGTGGGCAGGAATCTCTGACGTGTCGAGATCTTGTGGCATACTCAAAACTCACTCGGATGCATTTCGCTTGGGGTGCCACACCAAACATGCACACTTGAGGCTTGATTACAAATTGGTTGTTTCTTCTTCCCCTTTTCAGTGTCAGCTGGATCGAGGAATTACACAAATGATAGAAGATGTCTATGATAATTCGTGGGATGGCGACCTCGTAAGGCTGGTGAGTGCGCGATTTCGACGTTATTATCAGATGAAGACGACTCAACAATAGCCTGAACAACAAGTATGCGTCCAAAGCGGACTGTCCGCTTCCCGTCCGCTAGTTTATACACGAGTCAGCTGGATTTGACCATGTGATTGCATGCACACTCGCACGTGGTTCAAGTCGCCTCTTATCATTGTGGTACAAGTTTACACTCTGACATGTTGCTTACCTACAGGACATGTACAATCTGACGCATATGCGGCCCGATCGAGCATTGGATGGCTATCATTTTTTCCCTAGGCCATGCTTTCACCACGTGAGTTCTCATGCCTTCATTCAACGTATCACGCTTCTACATCCCGTCTATGTGATTCGCACTCTGCTTGACCGCTCATGATCCTTGTTCGTTTCGAAGTCACAACGTTGCTTATTTCTATGGCAGGACTCGATCCTTGCAAAAGATCTTTAGAGAGCAATCTGTCCTGTGCCTTTTCACCGATTCGTCATCTTTGTTGCTGCAGCATAACAAAACGGTATGCAGTTGGAGGCCGGAGATCCCAAAATGTTGCTTCGCTCCTGATTTTCCTCAAGTCGGTTCGCTGACGTTAACGAATATAATGATTAACCTCCTGTGGCACGATCCACGGTTATTGAAACATTAGGAACAGATGGCAACGCAAGTGCTAAACAAGTGAATTCGTGTCAAAGTTGTTTGAAGATCGGAGTTCGCATCGGTTTAGGTTGTAGTACTGAATGAGTGAATGACCAGGTCAGTGAGCCTCGGAGTCGTTGGTTAACTTGAAAGCTCGCCATTCAGATGTTGGTGGTCAGTCGATCAATAAGATCAAGGGAAGGAGCTCCGTCCTTACAGCAGAGCCGGCCGAACAGAACCTAGAGTGCATGCTAGCCACTAGCTGTACTGCACAAGTGCCGCTGTTCTACAGCCAACATGAAGTCGGACGCATCGTGAGTCCTTGAGTCACTGTGCCACACCTGCCATTCCGGAGTGATCTGATCGTGACTACCTAGCAGTCAAGTTTTTTGAATACATATATGCTTCGGCATTTGATTGGACACGTTCTCCAATTCATTACTTTGGCATAATCAACAGCTTGTTATTTACAGAGCTAGTCTTCAAATGGCCGACCATCTTCGGCTTCAATGGCCGGGCGTATTCCATGCTGCTTCAAATTATATCTAAGAGGTGCGCTCATATAGAAAACCGTGGCTCGTAACTGCGCAGCGAGCAAAAACTGCAAAACAGCGCGGCGCCCCCGCTGCGCCATGTATACAGATTCTGCTTTATTCAAACAAACTTGGACTCATATTTATTATACTCATATATACTCATATTATTATTAAGTTCATGCAAGAATCACGTGTTTTTCAATCGTCCATGCACTGCATTTCAATTACGCGCTATCATTTGAAATAGTTGGCGCTCCACGCAAGACCGGCCCGACGCGACAGAGGTCACTGAGTCACCACAAATCTACCTAGACAGTATGGTATTATTACCGTTGGATACTAATATATGTCAATCTATCTACTTCGAGGTGAAGACCACCTTTTCTCCATTCCCATTTACATTCATAATGCCTGCCTCGTCCCTGTGCAAAAACAGCGGGCTACTGCTACGTACCCTGCCAATGTTCTCCTGGACTTGCTCAATGATAAGCCCCCCGAGTACGTCGGACAGCGGACTCTTATAATGCTTCAAGATGGCTGTCGAAGTTACCAGGTCCAAAGCCAGAGATAGGAGGGACAGTACAAGAGGGAGCAATATCAGGGCAGTCACCCGCAGCTGACTCACTGTCTCCTCGTAGATGACTACGTCACCACCGTAGGCCAAAGAGTAGAAAGTCCCATTGATGATATCGAGGATGTCTTGGATTTCATTGGCTGATCTTACTTGCCTAGACGTCTTGTCGGGATTCCGTTCATATGTGTACGAAACTCCGCTCGTGACGATTGGTTCGTCACCACATACATCCAAATCCGGACTCTTGTAAGAGGCTCCTTCCGCCTTGATGCACACCTTGCCACTTTGATCAACCGACGCGCACATGATCATACCAGAAACTTCATCACGAGAGTAGTCAAACAACTCAGCCGTCACTTCAGAGTTGGTTATGGCGCTCAACACTTGATCAAGCTGGCTTGAGTTGAAGATCCTATTCCCGTCTCGATCAATCAACCTAGTGTCGCTGCTTGCAACAAACACCCCCTTGACACCACAAGCATACGAAACTGCAAGGTTTGCCCCTACATAATCGCCGGAAAGCCCCACGAGAATCAGGGGCAAATCACTTCCCTCAATGAAGAAGCTAAAGTAGTTGTTGAATGCATAGCTCAGAGGCACTCCTCTCGGTTTTTTGAATGTGAAGCTCACGCCTGTGTCCTTCACAACAAGCCCGTCCAGGTGCCGAAGCTCATACTTGTTGAAGATTCTTTTCCTGGCTCCATCTCTCTCAGTGGTGTTCAGCCGAGCATTGGTCAGCCGCCCCTCTTTGCTGATCACCATTTTGAACACTTGTTGAACTAAGGAGGAAATGTTTTCGCCCTTGGGGTAGCCACTCGACTCTTGCAATGAGTAGAGTGAAGACGATATGTACTTCCCCCCCTCCTCCGCATCCTGCAAGTTTGTGGTGCGGGTAACGGTGTTGCTCTCGGTGGAAACCGCAAGCCACAGCAGTGGGTTAATGGAGCTGACAGCTTGAAGGAGCACAATGGACATTACAGCACACAGATTTGCAAGGCTGCCTGACTTCCCATTCCGAGGCCCCCAATGTAGCCTCTGCTGCTTGTCGCCCCTAACTGCTTCCAAGTCTTTTCAACCCAAGAGTCATTTGATTCCCTAAGCTCCACCAGGCCACTCTTTCTCGGCGAATCCCGCCCTGCCCACCCAGAAACCAGGGCCATGAAAGCCCCTTCCTTCACTTTGTTCAACACGGCCAGGTCTCCAAACCGCGCGAGCAGGCTTACAATGAACCTGCTCAGGCTCCACGTCAGCACCACCACTTGCAGCGTGATGACAGCTGACACAGCGGGCGCATACACTGAATCCACAACTACGCTCAGTGCGTCCATCCTCAGTGGCGCAATTGCTCAGAGCTGCCCGGGAGATATTGTCACGGCCGCTCAGTGGCTGTCACCGAGTCGAGGGTGGAATGGCCCGGGCCTATGTTTCACTTGCAGCTTTGGTTGTGCCCCGCTCCCTAAGCAAACACGGCCACCTGAAGACAGAGAAAGGAAGAAGCATGCCAGCATACCAATGGGGGGTATCTTTATGATGCATGTTACGGTATTACATTCTGACATTACTACCAAACTGTTTTCTAAGATTTGAAATCTGTAACCCAATGCTATTGCAGGCCGCCGCGGCCTACCGGCCGCGGTATACTAAGCTAACTTTGACTGGACTCGTGGAGCAGGGACGATTGTTTTCAGCAACGGGATCCCTAGGCTTGGCCCGGGATTTCAGGATAATGGGATCCAGGGATTGCCCAAACCACTGAGCATCATGCTCGTATGCCACCTGGCGCTTCGAGGCAAGCTGATCTGGTTACGGTACGGAGCCCGACTAGGTACCGGTACGGCGGTAGTTTCTTGGGTAGTACCTATACTACCGTACCTGGCTACCTAGTCCTCGGCCGGCCGGGCGCCGCCGACGTCATGGTACGTACGCGAAGCGACGTACCGGGTGACGATCATCGGATCGGGTCACGGGTGGCGCGCGACAGGCGCGAGTGCCGCCGCCGCGCCGGCGAGGCTGCTGGGGGGGCCGGGCCCGGCCCCAGGCTGGCAGGCGCCAGGCTCGGCTCGGCGCCCACCGGCGTCCGGGCAGCCGGGCCTTATGGGGGCAACCATATTAACACATGTCAGGCTGTCAGCCATGTAATAATAAATGATGGCATGCCTGAGGTGACCAGGTAAGTTGAGGTCTAGAGGTCGCGCGGTAGTCGCGTCAAAAGGTGTTCAAAAGTTCGCATGGAAAAGTGAACGAATGACCGGGAAGAGGCGCACGCATGGTGCACGTATGCCGGCATTGGCTCAGTGGTTGGGCATGTTGGCCCGTGGGCGGCAGCAAAAGAGACATCATCAGGAGGTAGTAGCCGCCACCAAGAAGGGTTCAAAACATTCGACATAAGTTGCAGACGGGCTGCAGACGGCCCCTGAGGCCTAGGGGAGTGGCATCGTTGGACTCCCCCACGACTCCCCGCGTTGACTAGCTAGACTTCGATCGTGTATGTGCACTTCGGCTGAACTGAATATGTATTGATCTACCTTTCGGCTCCGTGCATCCGTGGGCTACTGGGCGGCTCAGAGACACGGCTGAGAATGTGCAGGTTCGATCCAAAGTACGGTAAGAATGGACGTCGGATTGCAGATAGACAGAGCCCCGAAATTGAGGCAAACTTGAAAGTGAACTCGCTAAATTTTAGACGGATCATCAGTGATCATCGAAGAAGATTCTGAATATGGATCAGTGTTGCCCTAAGAATGGAGACAGGCAGCCGGCCAATGTATGCCAGGAAAGGCTGTCGAAGGAAACAAATCAGATGAAAAGAATGCGAGATTTCGTGAATCACTCTCCGGATCAGTAGCGCTGAAAATCAATTAAAAGAAAGACGCTTGTTCAAGGGGTTTCAAAAGCTCTGGCCCTAAGTATTTTTAGCACATGGGATTCGTGCATTGGTAATATATGTAGATCTTGTCGGAACTCAAAATGCAGGCCAGACGTGAGCCGCGTACGGTACGCCGCTTAGCTAGTAACTTAATTTGCATGACGGGATTTGCATGTTAATGATCATGCACATGCTGACTACAATATTCTTTGTATACATCGATGTATGCGTGTGACATGTCAATGGCTGTATATTTGTGTTGCCAATACGCCCACGTGGAGGCAACCGCCGCCAACACTGATCGCTGGGCGACGGAACAAATGATGCATCTGATTGCCACAAGTAACTTTACAACACCTGGACCGGACCCTGTTACAGGGCAGGCTGTGCTTCCGACTTTGCGGCGGGCGGCTGTGCACGATATGTTTGGATGCTGGTAATGCCATGTGCATTATAGCATGGACTTGAATTCGTAGCGTCACCATCCAAATCCAAGATGCGCCTTGCCTGCATGTTAGATTCCCTCGACCCGGCTTGGAAGGGGTCAAGCTGCCAGACTACTTGATGACATTTGCAAACTCACGGTTCAATACTGATTTCTGTATGCCTGTTCCTAACCGCTCCATCTAGCATCTGCACCTACTGAAACAGTGCGAGTCCGATTGGTCCCCCTTGGCTTTCGGGCTCTTGCGCTAGCTGTCGAGCGTTACTACGTTCCTGCATCAGGTTTCCCCGGTCTGCACGAATGCGACAGCAATGCATCAATGAGGTTTCGCAATTGCAATTCAAAAAACGAGCACGTCAGAGCAATCCATACCAAGATAGTCTGAAGATTGATTAAGCAGGCGCTTTCACTGCTTCTGGATACGGAAGTAGACGACAATATTTCTCAAAGTCACGCCTGTACATCATTGTACATCAGGCAACAGCTCGTCGGAAGCTCACACGTATTTCGCTCGTTTCTAAAGCCATACGCAGAAAGATACTTGAGGAGATGCTAACCGCTCAGAGGGTGAGCAATCGGCCGGTACGATATAAAGGGCTACTGGATTTTGCGGACTTCGGTTGCTTAATAGGCACTTCTTCTCAGGCTGGATCAGCAAAGAACGCGTCTGAAAAACACTTCTCCTGCCGGCTAATTTGGACAGAAGTAATAGGTATTCGGAGGCAACAAGGAACAGAAGATCAAGGAAAGGCGTTCTTGAATGTTGTGAAGTGGGTGACATGAGAACAACCGAGAGAAACAGGACCTTAACGAGAAAAAGGACAAGTGTCGGATAAACGATTGGTTTGAGAGAAGGAGCAACGAGAAAACATCACAGAGCAACATCCCCGACCTGTGAGATTTGTGATGACGTTTCCCGCTTTCTGTGGGGTCAGCGCGCGCAGCTGCCCCCCCGCGCCGCCCTGTAACAGAGTCCGCACCGCAACCCGCTGCTCTTTGACACTGCTCGTGGCACCGACAGCCGCCTCGAACTCGGCCAGCGCTGCTGACGTCATGTTCGGAAGCGAGGATAACACCTGCAATACATGAAACATGTTTCTTTTCCTGCGCCGTCAAGTTTCGGCTAAGTTGGAATCCAGGACTGTGTGCTGCAATTGTGGCAGCTCCTATTGAACAGTCTCTTCATCGAGAAGACTGCGTCGAGCTTCAATTCAAAGCGTCTTCTGCGTCTTCACTCTTGCTCTGTGAGAAACAGAGGCCCTCCAGCAGAAAACCGACGAGGCTAAGTTAAAAACGTCCAAGCTTCGAATTCTTTTACAGCAGTGATGCAATCACCAACGAAGCAGTAAAAGAAGGGAAACTGAGGCTTTGAAAGCTTCGTAGACGTATGTCTAACAAGGGATATAGAGAAGCCGGAAAGTCTAATTTGGCCTTGCACGTGGTTTTGATGACAAGACGTGCCCTTTATTTGGTTGTGGAAAAGGGCCGACTTATTCACCCAGCAACTCAACTTGACGTGAGATTGACAGACAGTTAGCAGCTGGCTAATCCTCACCTCACCATCACGGTTGACCTATGAACAAAGTGTCAAACAACCGCACCCGCCAAGACTACCCAATGACACTGACTGCTCTCACAATACTACAAGGCAGTACCTGTCTGACGGCTGGTGTCACCGGCGCAAGGCGGAGGTAGATGTCGAGAACGAGCGCCAGAAGGTCCGCCTGAATCTGGGCGTTGCTTTCGAGCGCGAGCGCGCGTACGGCGGTGGCGAGAAGCGTGCGCCCGACGAGTTCGTGCAAACGGGGGTCTGCTGGGGCGACCTGCGAAGAGATGGGGTGATTCAGACGGTCGCCCAAAAGGGGTGGGATAAAAAAGTAGTCCTTTGAGCGCGCGTACGGCGGTGGCGAGAAGCGTGCGCCCGACGAGTTCGTGCAAACGAGGGTCTGCTGGGGCGACCTGGAGATGAAGCAACAAGTCAGATGGTCGCCCGCATACGTATGGGGCCAAGAAATAAAAGGGTTGCTTTGAAGCGCAAGCGTCTGCAGAACGGTGGCGAGTAGTATGCGTCCAAAAAGATCGTGCAGGCGGGGGTCTGCTTGGGGCGACCTGCGAAGCGGATGAAGCGGTTCAAACGGTCGCCGAAAAGCGGGTAGAGTCAAGGAAAGTGGTGCTTTCAGCGCGAGCGCTCGTACCGCGGCGGCAAGAAGCGTCCCGCCCTACGAGTTTGTGCAGGCGGAGGTCCGCTGGGGCGACATGGGCAAGAAGGAATAAGTCAAACGGTCGCCCGGATCCGTAAGGGGTCAAAAAATAGAACGGTTGCTTTCGAGCGCGAAGGGTAGTATGGCCGTAACGAGAAGAGTGCGCCCCAGGAGAAGGCCCAGGCGGGGGCTTGCGGGGGCGACCTGCGAAGGGACGAGAAGCATGGTTGCCTAAATCTCGTTCGGGGGTTTCAGACCAAGGACGGAGTTGCTTTCCAGAGCGAGCGTGCACACTGCCGTGGCGAGGAGCGTGCACCCCACGAGGTCGTGCAGGCGGGAATCTGCTGGGGCGACCTGCGAAGGGACGGGAAATTTTTCAACGGTCGTCTAGTTTTCGCATGGGAGTTGATCCGATGAGGGAGTTGCTTTTGAGCGCGAGTGGTCGCGACGAGGTGTCGAGAGGGCGCCCTAAAACCTTAGAATCCCAAAACACCCTACGAATCCTGCAGGCGGGGGTCTACAAGGGCGACGTGCCAGAAACGTTCAATGTTGAGACAGTAGACCTTTTCTAGTATGGAGATGTGACGGCACGTCAAACCACTATCGCGAGCGGTTCGGATTGGAACATCGATTCAAAAGGTGACGGGGAGACGAGATTCTGCGAAAGCTCTGCAAGTGCTATCGCAGTGGATACAAGTGCTATCGTGAGACCACAGCCACCGAAAGATGTTTCACTACCCCCCCGATCGAAAGAACCCTAAACTAGAGCCAGCTGTATACTGCTTACTGAATACTGAATGCTGATTGCTGAATGCTGAATGCTAAATACTGACTACTGAGTTCTGAATACTGAATACTGACTATTAAATACCGCGCCCGACGCCAATGCACATAAGGACGAACTAGCACGACACAAGGGCGACACGGCCGACAGAACGAGTCGTCAAAAAGAGAGCCCACCTGCGCAGCTCCGCTGGCCAGGATAAGCGCTTTTTGGGCGGCCTCCGTGTCCGGCCACGTGAGTGCCTGGGTCGCCAGTTCGAGCCCGGCCGCCGCGGCCGGGGGGTGCTGGAGCAACCAGCCCAACAAACCGGGGTCTACTTGGTTGCGGATTTGTTGGGAGGGTTCTGGCTTGGTGGGGGGAAAACTGGAGGGGGCGAATAGAGCCAGCAGCGAGCAGACGTCCCTGTGAGGAGCATTTTGTGTGAACGGTTTGTCGGTTTGTTTCCCACTTCTTAGCCTGCTTCTGAAATCACAGCGTGACAGGTTTCAGAAGGGTAGGCAGTCCATACGGACTACTTGGGAGGTCACTTCGCTGGCTGCGCTGAAACCGCTGATTGGCTTAAAAGGAAAAAGGGCCGACCAAGACGATACATCGGCCTTTGAAGAGAAGTTTCTGAAGTGCTTTCAAGTTATCCTGGACTAGATGCCGGTCATGCGAAGAAGCCTGAATCAAAGTGCCATTTGCTTGAACAAGCATTATGCAGTATGATTACCGTCATCGGGATGTAAGCCAAATCAGGACAACCCTCAGGGGCCTGCAAAAACCTGTCTGTGAGATGCAATTGGCATCCCAGTCCCATGTCGACTTACAAGTGTCTCAACTTGTGCAGACTCGACAGGTTATGGAACGCGATCCTACCTGCTCAAATCTCGAACCATCTTGTCAAGCAAGATTTCTTCCGCAGCCCCCCCCTTGGTTTGCTGCAGCGGCGGACCCCCCGTTTGCGTGGCCAGCTGGGCCCACCCCCCAGCGAGGGTCGTGTGCGCTTGCGCCAAAACAGGGGGGACCAGTGGGGCCAGCCACGCTTCCCATTGAGGGGGGGGGCAGTGGGACACAATGGGAGAGACCTGTAAGAGGCGAAACGGGGGGGTGATGAACCATAAGCTCAGAGTGACTCTTAAATGCAAGGGCTATATGATTCTCAAAGGCAAAATTGCACAAAACAGGGGGGACCGATGGGGCGAGCCACATTTCGCATCCAGAGAGGGGACAGTAAGAGCCGTTGGGGGAGACCTGTATGAGAAAGAACCCAGACTTTTGAAAAGATACTTGCGGGGAGGTCACATGCTTAACGGTTCCGCTTAGAAGTTGAAGAAGTGGGAACCGGAGACCCTCTGAACTGGCACTTTTACCAGGACTAGGACGGTCAAAGAATGGATCTTGAGGGGGAAACTCGACCATACGTCAGTAATAAAGACTTAAGGGATTGTGGGGTTTCAAGCTCAAGGAGACGAGGAAAGGGGCTTCTGTAGGAGTCGACAATCCTGGCAAACAGGACTGAAATGCATCCTCTTCGGGTCTCTCCAGAACGATGCTCCCAAGTCAATTGGACAAAAAGACTGGTCAGAGTGCACAAGCACATGAAGTTTGGATATCCGAACTTGGCCACTTGGAGCCAGTCTCACGTGCAACGCTTCGGTGACTTTGCTGCAAATGTCGCTTCAGGGCCACCCTCTCCTGCTTTGCCACAGCTTATCCTTTTGCCTTTTTGAATCGACAGCGCTGCCTTTCCTTATGAATCTTTTGAAGCTCATCCGACCTCAAATCCTTTTTAGAAGAAACTCTTCGCCCCGGCATCTCAAAGGTTATTCAAGAGAGAGTGCCCGCACAGGTAAACTGCAAACAGCCGACACAAGAAAGCGTGCACCTTCTCCTGCGCACAGCAAAAAGTATATGCTCACCACGGACTTGATCAACAGCCGCAGGTGCCGAATCTCCATCGCCGCAAGGCTCCCCGTGAGCGCGGACGCCGCAACAGCCCCCCACTCCGACCGGTCGAAAAACCCGGGCACGCGCGCGGCGGCTGTTCCCAAAACAGTGTACCCCGCCTCGCGCACTCCCTTGAGCCAATTTCGGGGGACTTGCTCTTCTTCCGGGGGGGAGATTCCCTTGTGTGAT